AGGGCGAGCCTCTGGTGGTTACTGAAAATTCTTTGCTCCTGCACGCCATGCTCCCGCCAGGCGCTCGCATCAGCTGCCAGCACCAGCCCTGCTTACACCCGCTGCTAGCACCCAGCACCAGCCCCGATAGCTGGGCACTGTCAGTGGGTGTGAATGGCGGCTGCCGGCCCCGATCTCCCCTGAGGGCTTTTCCACCTCCCCCTGCTCCTGAGGGGCGATTGGGGCAGCAGCTATCCCTCGCAACCACTGCTGGTGCTGGCCCCAATTGCTCTGCACTTTCAGCAGTGAGAGCAGTGGTGGCAGGATTGGGGCTGCTGGCAGACAGGGGACCAGGGGCCGTGGTCAGGAGGGGCCGGGCAGGGGCATGGAGGATGGGCTGAGACCTGCCCCTGTGCCCCCTGCAGCCTCGTGGACCACAGTTCCTTTCAAGGTGCACGAATTCATGCACTGGGCCCTTAGTGTATATATATGGAGAGAGAGAGAGAGAGACAGAGAGAGAGAGAGAGAGAGAGAGAGAGAGAGACTGACTCACTAATCCTTTGAAGGACTGCTACTCAGTCAGGGAAGTCCTGGTCAGTGTGAATCAGTTCAAGTCAACACAAGGGATGACTTATGCTCTGAGAATTTAGGGGAGTGTGGGACTCCATGCAGTCAGGCTGGTAACCCTAGGAGAGTGTGTTCACAGTGCCTGGGTCTGTGAGGTAGAAGGACCAGGAGAAGCAGGACTGGATCTGGGGGTGTCGAGGTTGGCTCCACCGATGACCGGTGTAGACGGCCATGGCCACCACCATGAAGACGGCTGACACAAGAGACAAGGAGACTGCTCAGCGCCCCTGCGGGAATGCACAGTCCCCGAGGCCCATGGCCAGTCCTCATTCCTTACCTGCAACAAAGGCTGTGATGGACGAGACCAGGGGGCCCCGGCCCGGGGCGGACAGTGAGGGGATGCAGGACAGGACCAGGAGGCCCACAGACCCCAGGCCACACAGGGCGGCCAGAATGCTGAAGGTCTGCGTCACGTGGATGAAGTCTGCTCAGAGAGGAGACCTGTGAGGACCTGTCCCCTCTGGCTCTTCTCCCCTGTCCCCCAGACAAGACACGCCACTCCCCCTTACCTGCTACTGATTCCCCACCCCGCTTCGGCCAGAGGCCCGAGTGAGCTGAAGAGCTGGGCCCGATGGCCATGAACCAGAAATCCGTGCTCAGAGCAACCAGGGCAGAGACCAGGGCCAGGGAGGCGGCCAGCGTGGCCCACAGTTCCTTTCAAGGTGCACGAATTCGTGCACTGGGCCCCTAGTGCTTTTAGAAAAATGGCATCACGGAAATTGCTGTTTCAGGGCCTCTCAATAGCCCTCCCACTGACAAGCCAGTAATTTTCATGTGAGAGAGATTCTCCTGGGTGATTTCCTGGTCTGCAGAAGGTTCCTGTGAAACTGTAATGCTGCTACCTGAGGAGGTAACGTGTTGGTCTCCATGCTCCCAGGATGGAGAAAGTGGTGCTGGAGAAGGGAGGGAGATGTGGCCAGAAGATAGCAGTGCCCTCTCGCCTTTAAAACTTGACCTGGAGCCAGCTCTGCCCCCATCTTGACCACCCTGTACCTCTTGTTAGGAGGACATCCCACCTGAGTCTCTACAATGAGACCTAACAGTCGATCTCAGTGAGTTGGCCTTAGGGTGATTGCCCCAGGACATCCCAGCTGGGAGGGAGCATGGCCTGTGGCCCCCTCACTCCCTGGCTTGTGGGGGACCCAGCCTTTCAGCCCCCTCCCTGAAGGCCCACCAGGCAGGGTTTGGGTCTAAATGGTTCCATGGGACTAACAGGCAGTTAGAAGGGTTTCTTGACTATTTCAGAGTCTGCCCGGAGGGACTCTGGGGAAATCAACATTGTCTCTCCCAGAAGGGGCTGGGGCCTTGCCCAGTTACCTACAGCAGCCAGGGGCTGATCCCAGCCTTTAGGTTAACCCTGCCCCAGAGGCAGCGAGGCTCGCCCTGGGAGTGGGCAAGCAGACCCAAGCCCATCAGGCCTTTGGTGCTGGTGCTCATGTGGCAAAGGCCACTGATCAATGAAGCCGAAGCTGGAAATGAGAACTTCATTCCTGCCTGGCTTTGTCCTCTCCCACCCGCCCTTTCTTCTCCTTCATGAATTTCCCTTTTCCTTGGGTAGAGGCCATTCTCCTCTTGCCCCCTGAGAGGGGAGGACCGTGGGTGACAATTACATCAAATGACCTTCAGAGGCAGCTGGCACCCAGTTCCTTAAATGGCCACCTCCCTCTTCTCCTGTGTCTCTGGGTCCAGCTGAAGCCTCCTTCCAGTTGCACCCTCGTTCTCCCCACGTGAGGGTTCCTACATGCCGGGGAGGTGGAGACACCTGGGAGATGACCCTCAGGGAGGTAGCCGCTCCAGCACCCCAAGCCAGACCTTAGGATGTATGAGTGAGATTGCTCACTGATGGCACAAGGTGGGGAAGATGCACCAAGGGAAAGTGAGTATCGGGGAACCCACACTTAGGGGTGGAGGTTCAGGTTTATGATCCGCAGCAAAGTCCTATTGGGAGAGCAAGGGTCAAAATGCAATGCAGTAGCTGAAGCTCAGAACCAGGTTGTGAGACCCTCTGTTCCAGAACCGCTGGCCTCATGTCCATGGAGGGTTGTCAGGGGGAGGGGACTGTGGATCTGAAGACCCGGGGTGGATCCTGACCCTTCTCTACATCCAGGTCAGAGAATCACACGTTCTCGGGGCAGGTGGAACCCTGCAGGCCCCTGACCCTGGGTACACCTCGCAATACTAACCTGTACCTAGGCCTCTGGCCATCATTTACACACGGCTGATGTTTGTGAATATGTAAATGGAGCTGCAGGGCGCTGTGGAACATGCAGGCCCTTCTGCTGTCGCTGCCACAGAGATGGTTGTTCACACGCAGTTTGATTACCTTGGTTGACGGGGAACTCACTCCTTCATAAGGGAGCCTGGGTGGGTTTGGACTGCTCTCAGTGGAACAAAGACGCCCCATAACAGGTCTCTCTTTTCCATATAACAATGTTTTAGACATTGAAGAAACTGTCTCCCCTTTCCTTGTTCCCTCCCCCTATATTCTTTTCCAGGCAAAATGCCATTTGTTGATTTAGCACAGGGGTGGGCAAACTTTTTGACTTGAGAAAAAAAAGGTGGAGTTTTTTTTTTTTTTTTTTTTTTTTTTTTTTTTTTAGTTTTATTCATTTCAAAGAGGCCGGATCCTGCTCGCGGGCCATAGTTTGCCCATGGCTGATTTAGCAACTGATTTTCAAGTACCTCTTATGTGCTAAGCTCTGGGCCAGGTGATGGAGAGACAGGAATTAATAAAACAGACATGGCCCTTCACTCAGGGAGCTCACAGCTCCGCAAGGCATCATTCCCAGCCTTCCCTGCTCACCTCTTGGCTGTAGGAAGGGCTGCAGGTCTGGTTTGATCAGGGTAGAGGTAGCAGCTCTGCTTTCTCTCCATACTTCTGTTAACCTCTATGTGAAGCTGGGGAATCACTGAGCTCCCAGGCACAATCTTGAGGATAGCAGCCTACTTACCTTACCAGTTTAATGTGTGGGATCAGACATGAATTGGATTTTTACTCTGTTACACACAAATTCAAGGTGTTATTTACATCCAATTCCACGGAGGTAGAGGGAGGCAGAAAAAGTTGTTTATTTGGGTCGTGACCTTATGACAGTGATTACTGCACCTTTTCAGAAGGAGGGCCATTTATTTAACAAACATTTGCTGCGTGCCTGCTCAAATGGCTAAACAGTGCGTTCATTTACTGTTCATTCTAGCAACATGTATTGAATGGCAGTGGGTGGATGTTCCAGGGTGAACGAAAGAGATGGGGTATCTGTCCCATGAAGCTAATAACTTAGTGAGAGATAGGTTTTCAATAATCGTCCCTCAAGTAGATCAAGAATGACATTTTTGATGGGTGCCATGAAGGAGAAGAACATGGGTGATGAGAGGCAATGCTAGGGAGACCTCCTTCCGATGGGAGGAGAGGAAATCAGGGGAAAGGATTTGGAGCTGAGACCTGAAGGATGACTAGTAAGTCCTGAAGATGGGGAGGGAGCTCCTGGCAGGGGAATTGCACCGGCGAAGACTGAGATGGGACCTCACTTATACATCTAAAAAATTAAAGATGGTGGAGGGGAGAGGGCAGAGGGCTGGGGAGGACGTGGCAGGCGGTGGCAGAGAAGAGGTGGGGATGGGACTCCCAGGGAATAGAACCCCTGGCCTTGGCATCACAGCTGTGCTAGAGCCAGTGCAGGCAAGAGTCTGGAGCAGAGCCGGGTGGTGATGGGGTGGTGCGGGGAGGCATCACTGTTCCCACAGGTAGGCATGTTCTGTGCACTCTCTGGGGCTCACCTCTTTCCTTTGTGGGAACAGGACTCCTGCTGAGGGGTGATGGCTCATGGGCCTCTGGCTCTCTCTCCGGATGTGACTCCTCCTGGGTAGTCTAGTGCCCCTGTGCCCAGCACGGTGCCCCGCTGCAGCAGGCTTTGCTGCACTGAGATCTGGCTGTGACTCTGCTGTTAACTTGCTGTACAAAGTTGGCCAAGTTCTCTGCCTCCTCTGAGCTGCTTGGGGTTCTCATCCATCTCCTGACAGGTAATCCTGGCTGTGAACTGCAAGTGAAGGGGGAACAGAAAAGCAAGGGAGCTCATGGGGAAAAGGGCCTTTGCAAGCTGTGAAGTGCGGGAAGATAGAAGGTTGCTCTGGTAACTGAGCTTATCTCCCCACCCCATCCCTGTCCCTTGGCCAAGGCCCTTTACCTAGAGAGCTCAGAGGCATGTGAGGAACCGAGGCAGCCAGCAGTTAAGGAGCTGCCTTGGTAACCAGTTGCCTAGCTGGTAAGTGGTAGAGTTGAACTTGGAACTCGAGAACCCCAGCTCCAGGGCCCACAATCTAACCACTAGGTAGTCCTACGACCCTTGTATTTTCTGCAAAGTACTCATTCTGTGTACCCTGTGGCAAGGAAGCAGTCACTATCCTCATTTTCCAGGTGAGAAAACTGGGGCTCCAGGTCACACAGCCCTGTGTCCTGACTCTGGGATGGGGAGCTTGCCTTCCTGGAGGCCTCAGTCTGAGCTATAGGACGGTGGAGCAGGGTCCTGGGGGCGGTGCTTGCATGCCGGTCTGTAGGGAGCCATGGAAGCACTCCGGCTGCAGCCCTGACTGCTGCCTTCCAAGGGCTCCTCGGTTGCCATGGCAGCCCACACGCCACCATTCTGGGCCTGATCTTGTTTCTTGTTTTGGTAAAATATTTTGTTGAGTACATGCCTTTTGTACCCTCTGTAGGTGCTCTGGATTGGGGCCGAAGGAGCAATGTTATTTGTGTTTACTAGTAAAGGGTTGAATTACTTGTCACTTTCTATACTTTTCTGCCCCCAGGGAAAAGTAAGTGTTCTGCCTTTTCCGGCTTTCTGGCTCTGGAAGAGTGTGTCCTCAGGCACTGGGGAAGCCAGCAGTACTATGGGCTCCCAGCCCCCAGTCCCAGCACTGCTCCCTGCCTGGGCCTTGCAGCAAGGCCTACATGTGGTCAAAGAGACCCGCAAGTGTCCCCTGGCCGCTGTGCAGTGCCAGGATCTGGCTGTGTCTAACACTGGAAGGAGCATCCGTCAAGGGTCTCTGCCCTCCAGCAGCTGAGAGACCAGCCTGCAAGATGAGCCCCCACATATGAGGAGAGAATAATTAATCGTGCCAGCTGCTCTAGGAGGCAGGCCAAGGGAACGCTACAGGTACTGAGCGAGGCTGTGCCAATCGCCAGGGCTGGAGCCGGGGAGTTCTCGCCAGCTCAGGTATGGGTGACCTTGGGCGAGTAACTTCATGTCTTTGGGCCTCACTGTTCCCATCTATAAAGTGAGTTAGTGACAGACTTGTCTTGCCTTTATTTTAGGGGAGTGGGAAAGCAAATGAATGACAAACATAAATGTGCTTTAGAAATTATAAAGTGTCAAATGAATAGTAACTATAACATGCTTGGAAAATTCAGAGGCAGAAATCGGTTTTGTCTTTCTTCAATTCCACCCGCCCTCCCTCCTTTTCTTCTTTCCTCTCATCCTTTCCCTCTTTCGTTTCCGTAAACACCTGCCAAATTTCTTCCCTTTGTAAGTACTGTGCTAGGTGACCAGTCAGGGTTGGGGGAGAGACCTGGGCACAAACAAAGGTCTACCTTTTAAGGAGTTTGAGATAGCGAGGAGCCAGGTGTCACCAGAACCGGG